CCAATTGCGCACAAGCCAATCACAGCGCTAGAAAAAAATTGAAAAAACTCACTATGCAGAAGTCTCTGCGATTGGTAATGGACAACTACAACAGCGTGCAACTATTCTTGACACACAGATGGTTCATGCTTAACGTGTGTGGTCACTGGTTACGGCAGGCCAGTGTTACCAGTTGTAAGGAATTCTTCCTATCCTTATTGTGCCAAGGAACGTCATTTATGCCGGTTGCCGTACGCATTGAATTTGCCAAATTATCAAAATGTCTACATTTTACGAAATTTAGCCAAATCCTCTCTACGATTTTTGCTGTTTATGTCTCTACGAATAGGAAGAATTCCCTACGATTAGCAACATTGCAGCAGGCCGTCGACAGATAATGCTGTTCGTTGTAAGCGGGCGCAAATTTGCAACATCAAGGCCCGTATTTAGAACGCGCTTTTATCGATAAAAGCGCGTTTTGATTTCTAAAATTCTATAGTATGTGTAACGTAAATTATAGCATGTTAGCGCGCTAACATCGCTAAACGCATTCTGAATACGGACCTGAGATCCTGGCACCTGACACATAGAAAAACTTAAGAGCATTCTAAAGACGATTAGCCATAGTGTAACTAGGACTTCTAGACAGACGATTTACGTGTCACTGATTTACGTTACTACATACAGAATAGTAGTGCATTAACATCTCACGCGCACATATACATAAATTTTTGTATAACAATGACGTTTTAATTAGACAGTCCAATTCTGAGAACTCCGCGTTGTTTCTTCGTGCAAACTACTAGTCTGTGAACTATTATTTCGTAAGTACAGATTGCACAGTTTTTATATGAAACAGATGTTGTCACGACGTGACAGCTCTAGATCACCATATTAGACTAAGAAACGATAAAAATCTCAATTTTTTTTATTTTTTATGTTCTCGGCAAAAATTTCACAAACACGTATTAATGCGTATACTTTAATCATGGAAAAGGAGTTTTGAATCTATAAAAGAGAAAGAAGTAATTGTTACTTCTAAAAATTATATAGTTTAGTCCGTAATACAGATGGCTTTAGAATTCCTTTTAAAAAAAGGTATAATTTCATGTCCTGCTAAATAAAATAAACAATTCGAACAACAGATCAGTCGCTGTTATACTACTGGCTGAAATTTTGTAGTTTGGACAGTTTCAACTACAAACATCGAACGCTCAAACGCTGTTGACGCAGTGATCGTGTCGACCGTATTGACTCTCTAGCATTGACCGCGATTTATATAACCTAATCTATTCTTTTTTTTTTATTGATCCAGATAAATAGATTTGGTGCAGTTGAAATAACTTAACTGTAAATAACTGTTTAATTTAGCACATTAATATTACAAGTGACACGTGAAAAATATGAACGAATGTTGTTAAATCTGTCACTCAAATATCAAATTCAGCGCTTCTTGGCCCTTTTTCATATATAAAGTTGTCGCTTGTTATTGCTTTAATAGTTGTGCGATAAAAGTCATCACGTGATCTTTTTTGTTGCTAAAACAACCATTTTGTGCGACCATTTTCGTGAAAATGCACCTTCAACATAAGACTTAAGTACTTAAGCAGTGACATCTTTTATACCGTTAAATTGGGCGCGTATCGAATTAGTGCAAACTAAATATTTTATACATTTTTATTCATAACGATCTGTCTCAGAATGGATTTTTTTTAGGTGACATGATATCTTCACTGCTCTCTCTCTTTCTCCCCCCTCCGTTCCTCCCACTCTCCCCCTTTTATTCTCTCTCCCCCTTTCTCCTTCCCCCTCTATCTCGCTCCCTCCCTCCCCTCACCCGCCTCCCCCCTCTCTCTCTCTCCCTCCTGTCCTTCCCCTCTTCTCTCTCTCTCTCTCTCTCTCTCTCTCTCTCTCTGTCTGTCTCTCTCACTTGTGATTCGGAAATAGCAGACCAAATTGCACTGAAATCATTTCCTAACTTTTATACACAATATATCAAGTGATTTAGTATGGATATAATACTTAGTACACATAGAGAACGTAAAAATCAATAAAAATTTGTGGTAAAAAAATGTATTTGTAAGTTTGATGGTCCTGCTCGGTATAATCTAGGCTAGTAAAAAAATCAACATGTTGGATTCGCTATTGCTCACGTTAGGTCTTATGCTGATTCTATAATGAATCGACAGTCGATAGTCTTATCGGTGAAGCTGACCAATAGCCAACTTGTACGACTAACGATGATTAAGTAATGTCCAATTTCACCGATTAAGGGGCTGCTGAAGTGGCCAAATTGTCGGGACTTTGCAAATCTCCGAATTTATTGAATGGAATAAAAAAATCCTTTTACAGGATTAAAGTAGACGCAACATTTGGTAGTGCTGCGATAGACTTTATACTAAAATCGAAAAAAAGTTTATAACTTATATTTTTTTCATCTCGTAGAGCTGTCACTTGACATAGATGTTTCCTTAATATAAAAGTTTTATAGCTCATATGGACCAAATGACAATGCAGTATTAAGCGCATTATGTGCACGAACATATCCACAAGGGAAGTTGTATCCAGATGTTTAATTAGTTTTGAAAAACAATTAGAAGGTTATAGTATCCTATCTTCTATTAACTAAAATGTGTGCCATTCGCTTAGAAAATTTGATATTTATTAGAAAAATGAATTTAAAGTCCGCTATAAGCTCCGAAAATGGGCTTTAATGATATTTTTTTTGTTATCTTTCTTTACTTTTTAATTTTTCTATATACGTGTGAGTAATATACGTAAGTGGAATAGAAGGGGAAACTTGAATCTCGATTATCTATCCCTTCCGAAGTTCAAATTCCGTTTCAATATGATACACTTATAAAGTTGTAAATAAAAATACATATATTTTCTTACTTACTATAATGTGTAATTAAAGAATAAAAGTTTATTATGTCATTCATGTAGATCAATTATATTACGAATTAAAAAACAGGAATGTAATGAAAATATATAAGTAAGAAAATATATGTATTTTTATACATACATATACATTTATACAACTTTATAAGTGTATTCAAATTTCGGGAGGGATAGATACAAAAATGTTCAACCCACCATTGGAATTGAGACCCAAATTTTCCTTTCTATTCTACTTACATATATTACTCACACATATGTAGAAAAATCCCAAAAATAAAAGAAAGTTACGAAAAAATGTCATTTAAGCTCATTTTTGGAGCCACTTATAGCGGACTTCGAATCCATTTTTCTAACGAATATTAAATCCGAACGAATGGCACACATTTTAGTTAATAGGAGGTAGGATATTATAATTTGTAACCGTTACTCTTTCAAAATTAATTGGACATCTGGGTAACTTTCCTTGTGAGTTTATGAAACAATAATATTAAAAGCTTCAAAAGAAAGATTTATATCGATCTGCAAATAACATATACTCGTATATACGAACGCTGAGCGAAGCTCGGAATGATAAACAACAATATTGTGTCTAACAATTGTGTCTAGCTCTAGTAAGCGTTCGATATTGCAAGATGGCGTTGCAATATGTTAGATAAGGACAGATGATTGCGTTGAGTGAGACACGATATATAATAAATATAAAAAATGAATAAAAGATGTCACTATCGAATTTAAAATTAAAAAATGTCTGTACTAACGACGTCGATTGAGTTTGGCCGTCGATCTAACCCCCTTAAGACTAATAACATATTTGATTTATGTCTGATTTATGTTTCAGTTTTAATCCTAAAATCCTAAAATCCTAAAATTCAGCCAATGATCGCGTTCAGCAGATTCAATTGTTGCGGAGCAGATTCGTGAGCGCTCGTTGCTATTGAATGATCTAAAAGGATATACCAATAGCAGCGAGCGTTCATCCGCAACAATTAGAATAACGCAATTGGCACGCAATTAATGGAATATAGATTTCAGTTAAAACCAATTAGGACTGGCAGCTCTATTGGCTGAATTTTAGGATTTTAGAGTTAAGATCGAAGCATAAACCAAGCATTACTGATTACATTTACACGGCATTCTTAATCGAGTTTAATAATACCTGTAGTTATGAAATTGGCCAATCACAATTGTTTCATTCTTCCGAGGAACAGCTATGATTGACCAATTTCATAACTACGGATGTTATTAAATCCGATTAAGCGTGCCGTGTAACAGAGGTCAATGACTCGACCCGACTCTGAGTCAGTAAATCGAATACGCTATAAGACTTCTGACTCATTGTAGAATCAGTGTAATAGTCTCATGATAAAGACAAGGGTATCCTCATTCGGTGGTAGGCACTGCGCATACAACATTAGCATACGTCACGTTCGGCCAGCCCCGGCTATATCCGGAGGAGTTTATGTCCATCAAATATGATCACCATACCCTAGCTGTATGAGATAACTTTCCTGAGTAGCATCTGTGTTAACATACTATAGGAGGAAGAATTATGCTTATATTACAAATAAAAATATAACAATATATACACGTTCAAATTTATCGCGTAACGATGACGTAACTTGTTAACAATTCTGATTGGCCAGTGGATGTGAACGTGCGCACGAGCATACCCTTGTCTTCATATTATGGTTGCCAACACATGTGCAGTACATGTCGAATAAATTCTGTAGTTCAAAATTCGAGTAATTTTACATTCAAAATGTGTTGTACAGTTAAAGGATGCGAAAATTATTATCATAAGACAAAAAAAGAGTCGGAAAATTTTTCGGATTAAAAGGCATGCTTAAAAGCGTTCGAATTTCGTGTTTAATGATGACGTACGCTTGTGAACAATTCTTATTGGTTTTTGGGATTAGGGCGTGGCCATGCGCACGAGCATATCTTTATCTTTATACAATAGTCTTATATGATTGATTAATTCGTTTACTAGCTTACTCGTTTTACTGCTTAAGTTTTTTTGTGTGTCTTCTTTAAAGAAAATATCTGTGAAAGTCTCAAAATTAATCGTTGTATTTATTATATCATATTGTATATGTAATTTAAATAATATCTACAAATAGGTACATTGGGGACATCATCCACTCAGACCAGAATTTTTAGAATCTACTTACTTCTTGTATCGAGCTACAGGTGACCATTATTATTTGGGAGTTGGACGTAAAGTACTCAAAAGTTTACAAACATATGCAAGAGTGCCATGTGGTTATGCAGCTGTATCAGATGTTAGAACTAACAAACATGATGACACAATGGATAGCTTTGTATTGTCCGAGACATTTAAATACTTATTTTTATTATTCGTGGAACCAGGCGAATTGGTTTTAGACTTGGACGAATTTATTTTTACCACTGAAGGTCATTTATTGCCGCTCACACTGGCTTCTATCAGGACAAATATATCATCTGTAAGTGTATATAAGCTGCAGTTGATTTGGCAGTACAGTGATGTAAATTTTACTTTTTTAATTAGGATTTTGAACGCGATATTGTTTATGTGAACGAATTTGACCGTACTTGCCCAAATAGCTTACATTTATTTCCGGCAACAGTAAGGCAACCTTTGAGAAATATGGTAGAGGATGTTTGTCCAAGACAATCGGTTAAACGAAGATTAAGCGCATCGCAATTTCAGGTATATTTACATTAAATTCATATTTTTTAACAAAAATTTATTTAAAGATCAAATTTTTTTTCTACAGGCAAATAATTTGAAACATCTGAAAATGTTAAGTGATATGGGAATAACAACTCTAACATTAACCGATGGACGAGTTCAACTTTTGCACACATTTTCTAATGTAATTTGTCACATTAAACATCATAAATTATATTTAATATCTTATTATGTTTTGTATATGGTACATTATAATAATAGATTATACATAGTGTAAATAAATTAAATATTCTAGGGATGTATATATTCTCATCAGTCAAACATTAAAAAAGTTTTAAAACTTTCACATTATCTTTAAAGATACCAGAAGGTTGCGGATTATCGCCATGTTTTCATCCACTAATGGTATTAGCAATGGATAAAAACATGGCGATAACCCGTAAATTTTCTGGTATCTTTATTTAAAAAAAAAGTGATATGAAAAGAGGAACATAGAAATGTTCAATTTTTGAAAGAGGAAGAATTTTGTTATTCAACAATATGAAACAATGAATGGAACTAATAAATATTTTGAAATTTGAATATTTGAACATTTATATTTTCATTATTGAATGAATATTTAAACATTTTATTGTTATAAAAAAATTGTTATGTAAACATTTTATTATTATATTTATTTCATATTAACATTTTATTGTAAAAATTGTTCAAATAATCTCCAAATGATTTGCCATATAATTTTCAATCTTACATACGTTCAATCTTACATACGTTATTGTAAAATATAAAAACTGTTTCCATTATTCATTGCGTGTGTTGAAAATCTGTAATATATGTAACTATGCTGCATATAACATTATTACTATATATAACTATACTACATAAACACATATAACGTACGTGAATAGATTTCAAATACTTGCAGTGAAAACGGAATATAGTTGAAGAAAAAAATTGGAAAACTTTTTGATAACTCTAAAATTGCAGTAGCGTTTCTAGTGTTCAAAAATATTCATTATTTACTGTTCTATTACTTGTTCTAATTATTTAATATTATTAAACAATAAAATTCCTCTTGCTTCAAAAATTAAGTGTTTTTAGATTTATATTTATATGAATTTTTTTTCATGTTTGATCAAATACGTCCTTAGAATATTTGACATTCATTTAAATTCTATGTATTATAAACTATATTTGTTAAAATAGGCAAAGACACCACAAGATTCGGAGGAAGGATTATTGTTTATGCAAGAAATGGTTGAACTTACCAAGATGCAAATACAACCGGAAACTAAACCGCAAACAGTAACGTTCACAAAACCTAACACAGATCCACCAGAAAAAGTTACGTTATTAGCCGGACCAGCACAGTTTGGACCTGAGTTACAGAATTTCGATAAGATTACTGGAAAAGTAATATTTACATATCCACCCGCAGCTTGCACAGATCTGCTGAACGCGGATAGATTGGCAGGCAAGATAGTAATAATGGATCGAGGAAATTGCATGTTCATAGAAAAGGTATATGTCGCTGCAAAATATTTTTCCAAATCACCTTTTATTAGCTATTATTAGCTTTAGATTTTCATGTTTGATTCTAGGCGCGGAGAATTCAACAAGCTGGTGCTCTTGCCGGAATAGTATTGGATAATGTTGCGGGTTCGAGTGCAGCAACTTCGCCCATGTTTGCAATGTCAGGCGATGGAAAAGAGATCGATGACGTCACAATACCTGTTGTGTTTCTCTTTTTCACAGAGGCAGCTGAACTGATGACAGCTATTAATATGGCTAATGGCGATCTTACTGTCACACTTGGTAACTATGAAGATTTAAATATCACACTACAAAATAAACATGTTGTTCTCGTGCATTATTTTTTAATTCTTTCATGTTTGGAATCGATTTTTTAAGGCGAAAACATCGAAATATTATTTTTAGAGTTATTATATTAAAATAGAAAAGCTTTTCTTTTGAATTAAATTTTAGAGAATCGAAATGATAATTCAATTAAAGTAAACTTATTTTATTACAATTTATAAAATATTTAAAAGTTAAAAATCACAAAAATATGATAAATGATGATTTCTCATAATATTTTCATAAAGGAAACATTGATTCTAAAGAACCTGTTAAAATTTACTGCATGTTTTTACAGATAGATACAGATCATTTGTACAAATAGAACTTTGCCCAATTTTATATAGGTTCTGGATCTCTTACGGCACTTTGGTATTAAAACTTAGAGTATAAGGTAATTGCCCACGATCCAATTGCGCACAATCGAATCACAGCGCTAAAAAAAAAATAACTAAACTCTCTACGCAGAAGTCGCTGTGATTGGTAGTGGGCAATTGCTACAGTGCGCAATTACACTGCTCACTAATACTTATAAGGGATACTAGGCAATCCAAAAAATCAGATTGTGTGCAAGTAGAGTAGTTCATCTGTAACAACTAAAACTATTTTTTGTTCGTGCAGAATTATAGTTTTAGGGGTGAAAAAAATCAGTTTTTTTTTTTTTTTTTTCCAAATCGAATATTGTCGAAACTATAAAAAATAGAAAAAAATCTGAATAAAAATTGAATAGTTTCAAGAGTACTTTAGAATTAAATTAAAAATTTTTTTTGAAAATCAGCGAGAGGATACAATAAATAAATAATAAGTTTTCTTTTCATTATAATTTTAACTCCCTAAAATTGTAATTTCGCACGAACAAAAAATAGTTTTATGTTACGGATAAGTTCCTCTAATCATACACAATGTTTCAGAATTTTTTAAATTTTAGATTGTTAGTGTCCTTTATTAGCTATAATGAAAGATTATTTAATAGAGGACCAAAATATTCCATAGACAATACACGCATAATTCTCATCACTCTTCATAGATAATCTTTTTGAAACATCTAAAAAGTTTATAAATTTACAAGAAAGAATGAAGTTTACGATTGAGCATAGCGATGATAAGAGAATTAGTTTTCTTGATTTAAGATTGATTGAAGATGGAAGAATTATTTTTGATAATTATAAAAAACTCATGAACTCAGACAGATTTTTGAACTTTACTTCTAATCAATTGAATTCAAAAAAGGCATAATAATAGGACCGTTGGACAGAATTTTATTCTTGTCTATATCCTAAATTTCAAGAAAAAAATATCTCCATGATCAACATATTCCTCAACAATGAGAATATCCATTAGACTTTATTTTTTCTATCATAAAAAATAGAATCAAATTACTTTCCCACACAGAAAATTTAGAAAAAAATTTAAATAAAAAAAAAGAATATATCAGATTCTATAGAAAAAAGGTTTTTTGTAATTTCATATTTAAATAATGTCTCGGAAAAACTTAACTGTAGCCAAAAAATATTCGACATCAGGATTCGCACAAACCAATGAATGTGCTCAATACTTTTATTAAAACAGAGAAAGACCGTTTAAAAAAAGAAGAGCACGGCGAGGTAATCTATGAAATTAATTGCTTAGACTGCGAAACCTCATATGTCGAGCAAACAAAAAGAAAATTAAACACGCGTATAAAAGAATATAAAGCAGACATAAATAACCAATTCTCTATCTATCGTGTCTCAACACCGGTTGGATAAACATAATCTAGATTGGAATAATGTGAATTGTAGATTCAAAACCATCTTACTATAGGAGAATGATTTCCGAGATGATATATATTTAAAAAAAAACAGGAACTAGGATTAAATTTGCGGACATCCGGTGCGGATTATGAATTACAGGCTGTATGTGACGGCACCCTAATACCTGTTCTACAATAACAGGAGCACAGCTATAAGTGATTGTAGTTGTAATAATTGACCAATCACGGTCAAATATTATTTTCACATTCAACTTGATTGATTAATTCTTACAACTATATCACTTACAACTACGCTTACGCTATTGTAGAATAAGCTTTACTGTTTTACACGCCTACCGACAGTTGTTCGTGTCGTTGCGCAATTTTTTCACCATATAAAATATCTGCGCAACGACACCGACAACCGTCGGTAGGTGTGTAAAGACAGTTACAGAATAGGAGCTCTATTGTTATGATGTGATAACTCTAGAGCGCCATATTGAATTAAGAAATGATAAATCTCAATTTCGAAATTTTTTGTCGTGCGATGTGAATTGGCCACCAAGATCGTGCGATTTGACGCCATTGGACTTCTTTCTTTGGGGTTTTCTGAAAGGAAAAGTGTATACCAATGATCCACAGACCATTCCGGAGTTGAAGGAAGAAATTAGACGTACCATTAATGAAATTAGTCCGCAATTATGCCAAAATGTCATTGAAAATTTTGTCAAAAGAATGAACGTTTGCAAACAGAGTCGAGGCGGCCATTTATCGGATATTGTGTTCCACATA